TTAAACAGATTTGTATCAAGTGTCCCTCTGATTTAAGCATATTCCAGCAGTTGGTCCTATAGCTTTTGCTTCCTGTTACGAGTCAAGCTAAAACAATGCTGGATCCTACTCCTCACATATTGCAACCTGATGGTGTCTTTTTAGTCTAACAAGTACCTCCCAAAACTACTCAAATTATCGGACATCCCCTTGAAGTTGCCTTTGTGAAAATACACCAATTACTAGTTGAATATTAGGAACAAACCATCTCTTAATTATTCCGCAGTTAGAATAATATTGGGGACAATTAGCCAACTTGATGATGGGAAAAGATGTGATGAGAACATAGTTTCATGTTGTAGATCTTTTTTTCAGCATCAACTTCTGAATGCTATCCAAATAAATAGCATTATCAAAAAGAGGAACACTATCTATCTATTTGCTGTATGTTGACATCAATATGTATAGGTCTAACCTGGTCTATTTTGGGAAGTATTTCAACAGAGCAACTTCATTTTTATTCACTGCACACAGTGTGTTTTAGCTGTAACGAGTCTGCCAGGTTTCACCGTGTTTACTTCCTGCGGAAACAGAAAGCAGTATTGGTAGTTCAGAAGACGCATAGTAAATCTGATCAATCTTTAACATTAAACTGCTACTTTTGTTCTCCTGTTGACCTCCTCATTTTAAAGTGTAGTTTGAAGCTCTCAGTTTTTTTTGCATATGAGTAAATGTTAGTCACTGAACACTGAAAAAGCTTTACATTTATTTTACATAAAAAGAACCTTAACTCAAAAGTGAACCTACATTACAAATCAACACATTACAGAGGAAAACAAAACGTCACACATTAACAGAAGAGGGTACATAGACACAGAGAGTGCATGATACATATAGACAAAGAGGCAATAAGACATGACAAAGGTGTTATTCATTGACGTAGTTTTTGATTAAACTTCAAACTGCTGTTTCTAATATTAAAAATGAACATTTATGCTCAATCTCCATTCATAAAGGTGAAGCTCAATAGCAATCTTTGCCAACTTTCAGAGGTGGAGTAAGTGCATTGTCTGTTTAAGTACTTAGAAGTACTTGTACTCAACTTCTGTAAATCCATTTTATGCTACTTACTTCTTATTCCACAACATTTCAGATTGTAATAGATTTTATCATCTAAGATATATTATTTGTACTATAACGATTTAATACCCAACAGTAGTAGTTGAAGTTAGCTTTACCTCGTTCAGCTTCAGTTAATCAATAATAATTGAAAGGATGAGCACTTTTACACTTAAGCATATTTAGCTGGGACTACTTAAATGTTTACCTCTATAAGCTTTGAAATGGTGCACTTGTATTTGATTATTTCCCATGTGGTATTGCTACTTAATTGAGGTAAAGGATCTGAGTATTGCTTTCATCACTAGCCTCTTTGAGCTGCGTTTCTGAAAAAGGCAGTTTTCTGTCACTACATCGAACTGACCACAGGCGATATGATGTCTAGACACACGGAGAAACAAGGCCAGACATGGGTGTGACTGTCTCGCTGACTGCAACAGTCGTCACATGCTATTCCACATGCATGTGCAGACACACACACACACACAAACAAACAGATTTTTACTCTTATCAACCCTCATTTCAATTACATTTCTCAATACGTCAGGCCGGGTTAATTCTCCAGCCTGAGGTTGTTGTTTTTGTTACTTCTAGGAGCTCCCTGATTTGTGAAGGGAACACCTGTAATACTGCTCCGCGAGCCAAGCCTCCGGTACTAAACTAAGCCTGTGAGGGCTCAAACACACTGAAACACACACACTGACACAGACACACACACACACACACACAGAGTCAGATATTCCCTGCAAGTCTCCTTCAAGGACGCCTGGGGAAGACTTGGAGGACAAAATCACACACTCCCTCTCCCAGTGTCTCAGACGCGCTGCACTTCTAATGCAGACAGAAAGCCTCCTCCAAAGAGACTATAGGCACACACAAACCCTCTCCCGAGCAGACACACACTTAAACACACAAATACCCGTAAAGGCCCTTCCACCTTCCCATCCATAGGAGAAAAGCAAGACAATTTCTGTCTGTGTTGTTTCTGTCATTGTTGCTGTCTCCTGCTCTCAGCTGTTTCAAGCTGTTGAGTGTGTGCCTGTGCATGTGCGTGTGTGTGTGTGTGTGTGTGTGTGTGTGTGTATGTGAAGTGGAGGGGGCTCACTGGGACTCTTTGACGACCTCATTCACTCCCTTCTTCTCCCCCTCGGCCACAGCATAGCCGACATGCCCAACAATGAGGCGGGAGGGTGGGAGTTGGACAAAAAAAAACACTGAATGCGTCTTCATTTGCCTGAACTTTTCACACGTCTTTTTCCCTTTTGTTGCCGGCCGCCCGTTCACTACCGTGCAGCGAGCCGCTCGGCCAGTTTCCGCTGGCAAGACATCCAAGCAAAGGAGCACATTTCTCCCCCCCCCCCCCCCCCCCCCCCCCCCCTGTTCCCCCCCCTTGCCCTCAAACACTACTCAGAATATTGATACATCACCCCCTCCCCCTTTCTCCCTTTCCTCTGTCACCCCTCTCCCCTCCTTTCCACAATGTTAAGCCCATTTTTAGCTTGACATAATCTGAAATGGTACTTAAGTGAATTTATGTCTACCTCAGTGCATTAACTTCTGCTATTTCCTCCTTTATGTTGCTGTTTTTTTGCAGTGGGTGCAGCGACTGGAGGGAGCAAGAGGGAGGGAGAGATTTGAAACTCAGACCACGGAGTAGACAGCCTATCAGTATTCAGTAGAGAAAGTGAGTGATGGAGGGAGAGAGAGAGACGGAGAGAGAGAGAGAGAAAGGAGGAGGGGGTGATGTATCAATATTCTGAGTAGTGTTTGAGGGCAAGGGGAACGAACAGAGGAGAGGGGGAAGGGGGGAGGGAGGTAGATTGGTGGGAGAGAGAGTACTTGAGTGAGTCTCTGAGTGTGATTATTTGTTCACGTATACGCTGTGTGTGTGTGTGTGTGTGTGTGTGTGTGTGTGTGTGTGAGTACGTGCATCTGCGATCGTGAGTGTGTATGTGGTTGTGGGTCTGAGCACATGTTGACTATAGGTTGTACATACAGTCAGTGGCAGTGATGTAACTAAACACATTTATTCAAGCATTGTACTCTAGTACAATTTTGAGGTACTTGTACTTTACATGAGTATTTGCATTCTACGTCACTTTATAGACTATTTCAGAGTGTGAAGGCAGAATAATTCAAACGTTTGGTAGCAGAACCCATGTTAAATGTGTTTGATCGTTTATGTGATACTCCTACCCTCCTTCACTGAGAGAGGTCAACGTGTTTTTAATTCTCAAGAGCAGCACCCTTTTCAAATGTTTTCCTCAAAATCATCCAAAGCGTTGCCTCGTATGATTAAAGAGGACCAATCAGGATTCATTAAAGGCTTCAACTCATGTATTAAGATTACTCAATGTTTCAGGTGTGTTTGCAACAAGCAGTGGGACATTATGTGCTCACATCAAATGACTGCATGTGGGCCCCGTTTCCGAAAAGCCTCTAAGACCGTAGCCTATAGACATACAATAGGACTAAAATCGTCGTAGAGGTGCCCTGTGGAGTTTTTTTGTGAACAAACAAAAGTTGTGTCTTCGTTCAGTGTCATTCAACACAATGCATTGTGTGTATCTAGGAGCTCAGACAAATGTGTTGAAAGCATCTCCTCGCTCATAAAAGAAAAAGCATAAAAAATATAAGATAAAAAAAATATATATATTTTTAATCCTCCATTGTTTACATCCATGTTTACTAGCTTGCAGTCTTCTTCTTCTCTGCCTTTGTTGCCGCATTGATGCATATCTTGACATGTTACATACACTTGTGGATTAGCGGAATAGTGCGAAACCATTGGCAGGAGTGTCATCCCTGTGTGCGTGCATGTGCACGGACGAGACAAACAAAATGACCCGCTCATAGAAAAAAGCTCCGTAGCGCTATAGAGGTCAAAAGCTCCACAGGGGACCTTAAAGGTGCTTTTGAGAAAAAGGAGCACTGTTTTTACTTGCGAGCAACTTGGTTTGAACGGTAAATTCATTAAGATATTAAAGGCCAACCAGTGGTGTTGGTTATGGATCCTGTAGGTCCAGAAACGTTCCACTGTCTCCACTGCTGTTTTCACCGGCAATCAGGCCGATAACCGGAGTAATGATTTCATCTTTGTCTGCCTCAGAAGCAAAGGCAAAAGTAGTGTGACATTGTTATAGATTATGGATGGATGGGTCAATAAATTGTATGACTATGACACAAAAGCCCGACAGTCACATCCTGTTCCCTACTGGTAGCCAACATTGCTTTTTTTTTTTTTTCCCATCAATCTTTCTATAAATCCTTTCTTAACCAAGCAGCTGCTGTACCTGAATCTAACCAATCCTTAACAATAGTTGTGGCAGCATTGGTTGATCTGGGAGAACTGTAATTTCCATCTTTTATGAGTGAATGAATTTAACCTTGAACAGTTTTAGGTTGACTGACTAACGATATCAGGCTTCTGATAAGGGCATCACATATATTAGTTATTTTGGAGGACAAACACAAATGTTGGGTTTTCCGTTTCATTTGCCGGACTTGTTGGCCAAAAATATGATACCCAAAATGTAAAACATTAACTTTCTATGATCAAAACTTGGTTTTGGTTAGCGTACATCTCAAGGAATTAATGTAAGTCAACGTCAAGCCCTCCTTAGTGACAAAAACAAGTTTCTGTGTGTGTGTGCGGCACAGGAGTCACAGTTTACAATACGTGTGGATGTGATGGAATCTCCCACTTGTTTCAGTCATCCCTTCTCTCTCTCTCTCTCTCTCTCTCTCTCTCTCTCTCTTACTCTGACTGCTAATCAGCATTTGAAAGGCAGCTTTGACAGTGAGAAAGAAAGTGAGGGGGGCACAGGGAGGTGGGGGTAAACGAAAGCATGAGACACAGCGAGTTAGGGAGCGAGAGCCAGAGAGAGAGACTTAGGAGAGAGGCTGTACAAGCATGCCTTTTATATTTACTAGTGACTGAGAGAGAGGGAGAGAGGGAGCAGCTGAAGGCAGAGACAACTGGTGTGCACGGCTTTCCCAAGAGGAAATGAAAAGAAAGAAGCTCAGCGAGGAGAGTGAATGAGTGAGCGCGAGAGAGGAAGGGTGGGAGGGAGCATGCCGGCTGGAGAGAGGGAGAGAGAGAGAGACGTAGTGAGGGAGAGAGAGCGAAAAAGAGATTCTCACACTGGCTGTGTCCTAATCCGAGTCCATCTCCAAGAAGCAGCGGAGCAGAGTGTTGGTGAAGTGAGTCTGAGAGCCAAGGAGAGCTGCATCAGCTAGCTCCATTCACACACACATACAAACACACCTACACACACTCTTTCTTGCTCTCCCTCTCTCTCTCACTCACACACACACACACACACACACACACACACACACACACTTTTGCAACGGGAGTCCACGATGTGTCCGGCTGCACGGACACGGCTTTTGTGAAAGTGAGCGGATTGAAGCTGCCCCCATCCCAGCCCTCTTGGCTCACACACACAGTGTTTGTTTGCTGTGTTTAAGCTCGAGGTGCCGGTGGAGGTGGTGTGGTGGGGGGCCACCGCCAGGGCAGGGCAGGGGCTCCGGAGAGGAAAAGAAGAAGGAGAAGAAGAAGAGGAGGAGGGAGACAAAGTGGATCAGATCAACAGCAGCAGACTGAACGCAGGAAATGCTCGTCAGGTGAGTAGATAATGGATCTAACAACTTACGGTCAACACACGCACATGCATGAGTGTACACACACTTTCTCACTCTCTCACTTGATTTTTCTCACACACGAGCTGGACACTCGCATGTGTATGCACAGTTACAAAGTTGTTACCTTTCATCAAATGTTTTGCTGTTCGTTTAAAATGATGCGTCAATCTATTGTTTTATCTTTTTTTTTTTATCTTGATGAAGATGAAATCAGGTGGAAGACAGTTTTATTGTAACTCGTTAAATTTACACCTGAAGTTGTTTTTCTCTCTATCTGAGATAAAATATCAGCATGTATGCAGCGGTGATAACTTTTTGCTGAGTCTAATTAAGGACAGAACAGAAATAATTCCCATTTTCCCCATATTTTACTTAATTGGCACATTAGAAATAAGTAGAAAGTTGATGTATAAAATGAAATAAAAGTCGTTTTTTATTAAATAAATTATGAAATGAGAATAAAAGAAAGGGAAGTTTTGTTTTGAAATTGACCTTTCCTCTTCTTACTGGGGTTTCCTTTATTACTTTGTGACAGCATGTTTGAATGTACATTTGATTACAGTATATCTATAAACATATAGATTTATAATATACTACAAATTATTATTGATGTCTCATTTGATCGGATAATTAAACGAAACGTTTGCTCTTCCTTGAAAGCACCGTTATTGCTTTCACACCGAGTTCAAATTTCCGATGTTTGCTTATTTAGATAAGCCAAATAATGATGTATGTTTATTTTCTGTGCCTTACCGCAATAATAACGGCCCAACACTTTCTGATACATTGTGTGTGCATGTGTGCTGGAGTTTGAGATATAGAGGCAGAGAGAGCGTTTGCATGTCCGTCTCCGCCTGCAGAGGCAGAATTGGTCACAGTTTACTGGCTTCGTAACATTCGGTGCCTTCAGGGTGTTTGCAGCAGGTGGTCCAAATTGGCAGAGTGACTGTGACAAACGCACAGTGTTCACTGCTGCTGTAAAGTAAATAACAACATCAAACCATCACATGGTGATCTCAGGTTGTCAGGTTTTTTTATTTCTCTTTTCAGAATTTGTAGTGATTGTGGTCGTATGGCTTGTCACTTGAAATAAAAGTCAGAATAGTTATTTCACAAAGGACAAATGTGTGTGAGCGCATAGCGTGTGTGCAGATGTAAAGGTATTTGTATGATTCCCTTTAAAATTCCCTATTTGCTTGTGTGAGTCTGTCCATATGTAGATATTTGTGTTTCACACCACCTGAATGTTTCTCTAAAACCTGTGCTATAAATTCTGCTGTGTTTCGTACACCGGCGGCAGCATCATTGACACACACACACACACACCCACACACACAGCTGCTGAGATAGCTGGCGCTTCAGATAAATTCAAACCAAATAACTACCTACGGTACAGAGTTGCTCTTTCAGGTGTCAACGTGTTTCTGTTAGTGAAAAAAGGTTGCTGTCCATACTTTTTTGTAATTCAGCAGTCTGTACTAACTTACTAGAAACCTTTTTTGGCACCTTTTTTAAATTTCTATGTTACTACTTTACCTAATAAAGATCGGATACAGCAGCAACGTACTTATGTAGCAACACTGACACGAAAACAGGGTCAGACCGTGTCATCACATGGCCGTGGTACAGTTCATACCCGGCCCACTGAGCCACTAAGCCTCTCTATCCGTTTCAGTTCTCGCATGTGCAGGGCGCTTCGGTCGTGACCCGCGTTCAGGCCTTTTTTATTAGACCCAGACGTTTCTTCTTCGGCTTTTGGGTTTAAGGAGCTGCGGTTCATGCCAGCATGCGACTGTGTGACAGATCCTGACTTGGATCGCTCTGTGAAAGTAAGAATGTCGGAGACAAAGTGTCCCGTTTGAAGACCGCAGATGAAACGAAGTTGAAATGAATTCACAGTAATAAAACGTAGTCTGAGCTGTTGTTCTACCGGCAGGCAGACACTTTTATTTTACTGGCCATCAAAGATGAGCGCTGAAGTGTGTTTGTGATTATGCCGTGAGGTTAACATCTGGTTTTCTGTTTGTTTTATTTTCTGAATTCATTTTGAATGAATCATGATCACATGAGGGGATAACTTAATATCAGTAATATAAAAATGTATCTTGGTTGGCAGAAAAAACTTGTCAATGAGTCACTTTCCGTGACTCATTGACAAGTTCTCAGGTAGACAGACACCTCACCGCTCCCGCCCTTCCTCTTTCTTTTCCTCTCTTGATATTTTTGTCTCTCTCTGTTGCTCTCTTACACACACACTAAGGTGGTCAGTGTCTGGTGTGTTGACAGACAGCCGCTCACACACGTCTTGCTCTCGCCGCATGTGTGTGTGTGTGTGTGTGTGTTAGGAGCGTTGACAGACAGTGTGTGGGTCTGTGACAGAGGGTGTCAGCGCGGTGTCAGGGAGATGTGTTTAGTGTCACACTCTGCTGACCTGATCTCCGGTCGGACTGTCCACTCCGGCCCCGCTGTGGCTCCTTACATAACCCCCGCTGTCATTCACACGTCGGCCTGAAGGGATCCACCAGGCTGCGCGCACACACACACGCGCACACACACACACACACAGACACGTGCAGTTACGTGCACATGATGTATAGTCATCCGCACTCAAAGTCACATTTGCCTCTAAAATCGAACGTCAGATCAGGTGCAAAAGTCTTTCTTCTTTCTTGTTCTTTAATTTAAGCCGTGACACGAAGAACTTTATAAATGAATAATATATCTGGAAATATTCAAACAAAGTGTCAAGCTCCGAGCAGTGTGTGGGAATATAGTATGAGGCCAGCGGGTATCCTGGTTTCCCCAGTGTGCTGCAAGACACCTACACAACTTGTGCAACTCTTATCAACAGTTTGACTCTGCCCTGAACTCTGACATTTGCACCATGCTAATTGATGTGTCTGTATTAGCATGTGGACATCTCTGTGCTGGTGTGCAGAATAAGAGTGTGCTTTCAAGTCCTGCTATTCAGTACACACACTGGTGTGTATGTGTGTGTGTGTGTGTGAATGTGTTGGAGAGAGTGAGTGACCCTGTGTGCTGTTCTTTGGCCTGTGGAGGTCAGTGCTGATGTGGTCTCTGCCTGCGGGAGTGGATTTACCATCCTCTGCCTTATAGAAGCGGCATCCACTTAGCTGACTCTTCCAGAGTCAGAGGGAGACGTTTCTTTCTACCTTTTTTCTGTTTGTTCACCATTAACTTTTACAATTTTGTGAACACTGTACATGAATATTATCAGCATTCTCCTTACAGTACATGTGACCACATCTGCATTCCTTTTGTGGAAGTGCTCAAAACAAGAAGCTTTTATCTTTGACTTTCCTGTAAGTCCCGCTTTAGTCATTTCAGCCCAGCCTCACAGGCAGGTCGGGGTATTTAACCCCAGAGTAGATTGCAGATATTATTTTGACCCAGGAATCTTTCTTTAAAGCAGATATCATAAGGGTTGTGGATGGTTAACTCCATGATGGACTCAACATTTTTACTTTATGCATTTCTTTTTAGTGCTCAACTTATTTTAGACGTTTTGCACTTTATTTTTTATTTAGACATTTGAGTTGCTCCGGTGAACCATTTACATTTTTAGCTCTTACGGTTGCTCCTGGGTCTCTTTATGCCCTGTTACTATTAGGGAAAACTAACCCCAGAATGCACTGTTACTTCTGTTGCAGGGTTAATGCATTTAAGATTTAATATTTTGTACATTCATATAAATAGCATATTTATTTCACATGCGTGTCTATTTTACCTGGATTATTCTGTGACGAGACATCGCTGCTCCTATAGCCTCCAAAAAAAGGCACAATTGTTGCTGTAAATGGCAGTTTATGGGATGAAGTCTGCACCCTTCATCAAGTTATTACACTTGTGCTGCTTAAATGTTGTTCATTACTTTCAATATTGAGCGAGGAATGACATCCAGTGTATTTGAGAAAAATCACTGGAGAGCAATCTTGAGAGATTGAGCAGTTTTTCTGGTAAATATTGTAAATATATGGGATTCTGTACGCTGATACTTTCAACTTCATATTTTATACGGTGCAGGTGAAGTGGAGTATTTCTTCATGTATACTCAGGCTGCGGTAGATGGTAATTATGACAGGCATGGATTGGATTCTGCGTAGCTCCACGCCCGTGAGGAGTGGACATCAAAGCAACGCTCACCAAAGCCCTCTGTAATAAAAGAGGAGGAGGAGAAAGATATTGATTACCAAGGGTGAACATTAGCAAATCTCTTTCTCTCTCCTTTTTTCATCTATGTCTTCATCCGTCCATCATTTCTCTCTCTCTCTCTCTCTCTCTCTCTCTCTCTCTCTCTCTCTCTCTCTTGCCATCTGATTTGCCTCGCTCCGCATCAACTTATGCTCTCTCCCTCCCCCATCCGCCCACCATCCACCCCTCTCCCCCTCTCTAATCATTTATTTATCGCTAATCTCTTTATTCTTCCAGTTTCGGGACGGTCCACACTGTGACTGTCCGCTCACACATGTTGTTATCACCATTCCTTTACACTCTTCCCGAACCCTCCTCTTCCTCCTCATCACCGCGGAGATACCTGGGGGCGGGCGGGGTCACTCTGGTCCAATCTACCGCTGTATTGATTCCATTAGATAATTAATGACCCAGGCAGGGGCCATAGAGGAGCAAAGAGGGGGTTAGGAGAGATGGAGGGGTGAGGATGATGGGAGAGGCGAAGGGGGTGGTGGAGGGGGAGGAGGAGGAAGGGGCGGGGGACGGGACGCCAAGGCCCTTGAGAGTTGGAGAGAACCTTGGGTTGGGAATGATCCAGAGTTGTCAAGGTCAACCACAGCTGGCGCTCCAATACGGAAGCAGAATGCCGAGTGACTCAGAATATGGAATACTGATAGGGGGGGGGGGGGGGGATCTTCATGTCCAGCAGCTGTCGATTGATCAGCGGCTGAAAAATTGTACATTAAAAAGTCTTTTGACTTCCAAATCCTGAGGTCCAACCAGGGCCGTAATGCATGATAAGTAGTTTTCAGCCCTCCAACCAGAATACCAAACTTCATCTCCCGGACTCTGCAGACACTCATTTACAACTACTCAACAACATGAAAGGCAAGATAGAAAACTAGCTACATAAATATTCTGTTCATGTTATTTCCAACCATGTTTTCCACATCTTCCATGATATTGAACGTTTTCTGTTTGATAAAATATCATTCACAGCAACATCTTACATCGCTGTTGTGTTCCACTTGTACCTTAGAGTAAAGACGGGTGGGGGTTTGAAGAAGAGAAGGGAGCTGTCAAAAAAAAAACGGTTATCACTATGATTTTTATTTGGGAAACACTGAAAAATGACCAGAATTCCTGCCACACAGTGTTTATGTGAGTTGGAAACTGATGCCAGTTTTTTTTAGTATCCTTTTTAATGCCAGAACCAAACCAGGGTCCTGTTTCACAATGACGCAATTATGATATGCGAGCACTGCTTAAAAGCACAATGCAAATGGTGACAAGGTCATTCTGTGGAATTTATCCAGATCTCAGGAGAAGGCTCTTGCCTGCTCATGTATGTGTCACAAGTATTAAGTTTGTTTAGTTGGATTTGTGACAATAGTCAAAATTAGCGGAAGAGGAAATTATCTAAAATTTGGCCCCAGGGACGTTACGATCATAACTAAGGATATATATATATGTATCCAATGTATTTTTTCACTTTCTTAACAGAAAGAAAAAGAGACTTATCAATGGATTTCCTAAGATGAGGTTCTTACATCTTTTTTTTTAGTCATCTAATTTTAGTAATTTATCATAAATTATAAAAATCCCCATAAGTGGAACTAGTCTGTCCTTCCCTCAGTTGCACAGTCTTGGTCCTGCTCTTCACCTTTACATGATCGCAGTGTGCATGTCGTCTCCCGTCTCCTGTGGGCTATGAGAGCTCCTCTGCCTCCACATTCTCAGTCTTGGCCAGCCTCTGTATCAGGCCCCAGGGGTTGGGGAGATGAGGCATAAAACAACCATATCTCTACCTAGGGGAGCTGGTGGCATGGCGGTGGGGCTATTGTCTCTCTGCGTGCTGTTTGACTTAAATGTGTTCATTTGCCTGATGCCCCTGACTCCTTACGGAGAGGGGGGGCTCTGGGAGAGGAGGGGCACGCTAACGAACCTCTGACAGCTGGAGGCCCTAATTAAACGTCCCTGCTGAAAATAAACAGAGCGGGCGCCAAGCAAGCAGCCAGACAAAAAACGCACGGCAAACAGCGGCTGTGAACGCTCGCCGCAGTCCCCTCCGCTCTGTTGCTGTTGAGACTGTGCCAAGAGAGCGTGGCTCTATAGGGTAGGGGTCTGAAACACACACACATATACACCACACTTATGAATATGTAGCACTGCAGCAACATATTGCGAACACCTGCGGTCACACTTGATACAGGTTGATCTCCAGAAGCTGTGGGTGCAGTACATTTTTTCCCTCAGTGCTCTCAGAAGTCACACTTTCCTTTTCTATATGTTTCCCACTGTGCCATCGCAGAATAAGTCGACTCAGCTCTATTGAGCGGATTGTTTCACACTCTGTCTAGATGACATTCAGCCTGTTGTGCTGCTAGCTAGCCGAAGCATTAGCAGTCAAAGTGGCGGGGTCCATTTGGGTGAGTGCATTAATGGGCCGCCCAACCTGCGACAAGGTTATGAGGTTGATTGAATAATTACTGTGGAGGCCCCTGTCCATTACGCCCCCTGTGTCTGCCCAGATAGAGAACGACGCAGAGAGAGATGGAGAGATAGTTCGAGACAGAAAGATGGAGGGAGAGATTAGATAAGCACAGATAGGGTCAATTAAGAGATAAACATTCAGGTATGGGATGGAAAAAGGCTGTGCATGTGTGTGTTTGGGCAGGGAAAATTTAAGAGTAAATAGTTTCCTGCCTGTGTCTCCTTTTGATCCCTCCGTCCTACTGTACGCAGCCTAATTTGGCATGTAGTGCATTTATCCCGGTCAGATAGAGGAGGTGACAAAGGTGAAGTTGTTAGACAGAGGTGAGCTGCCCTCTCCTCACCCTTCTCCTCTTCACCATCCTCTCTGAAAAGAGGTCTGTCAATGTTGCTGGCTGCAAGCTTGAGAGGAAAAAAATATAGGATTCCTATATGAAGCCTAGCCAAACACATAAGCCTCGGACAAAAAATGATGTGACTGTAAGGGCCCTCGTAAAAGGTTAAATCTGGGGCTGGAATATTAAACAGATTGATAAAGTGTCCTGACTTAAATACAACTTGTACGGCAATCAGAACTTTAAAGAGCTACCAACAACCAAATATATCTAATCACACAACAACAGTTCAGTCCAACAGCCTAGAAATTTGAATTAGTCAAACTGTTATTATCTATGATTTTATTGTGACATAGATTCTACATTATATATCACCCAGCCCAAGTTATCGCCTAGTGCAGTGCACGGTAAATACAAGTTCTCTATGTCTAGCAGCCATTGTTCTCTATTGTTGGACGGGTGGTCACTTTGCTCCAGACGGAGGTATCCCATCTATTGCCATGAAATGTGGCACAGACATCCCCTGACTTTTCCTACAGTGCCATCATCGGGTCAAAACTTTGGTTTATGATCAACTACGTACTTCTAAAATGACATTCCCATCAGCCTCAGCTGCATTTTGTGTGTATGGTTAATTTTCAACATTTGAACACGCTAAACTAAGATGGTGAACATGGTAAATATACCATATATGTACCATTCATTAATACCGGCTAAGCATTAGCATGTTAGCATTGTCATTGTGAGCATATTAGCATGCAGACGTTAGCATTCAGGTCAAAGTGCTGCTGTGAATATGAAGTACAGCGTCACAGAGCCGCTAGCTGTAGACTTATTGTTTAGTGAGCATTGAGCTTTGAGTACACTTTTTAAGCTCCAGTAATGCATGCATTCTGATCAAACATTGCATGGTGGAAGGAAATATTTGGAGGTAAACATTCACACTATACCCCACTCCTCAGTTTCCATCGAGGCCAATCTTTTAGACAATTTAGCAATAGAAAGCATAGATTTTTGCTTTACTATCGCCGCCTAAAACTACTAAAGGTAAGTGAATGACCCAATCCCCACTTTCAACAACTATTCTGTCTGTGTTTAATCCCTCACGGTCTCTGCTGCTTTTGAAATTGATCCAAGAATTTCTCATGCATACATTTAATGTTGGCTGTTTTAGCCCAGATTTGTGAAATGATATCTGCCAAACCTGCCCAGCTTCTGCTGACCCCTCTTAGCTAAGGTCAGCATAGCCATGCTCAAACTCGAGACATAATCCATTTTCTACTGCCCCGGCAAAGCTCTACTGACTTGATTGTGCTGACCCAGCCGGGCCAAAGAAAGAGAGAGTTTAAGAGTGAGAGGCAGTAAGAGAGAGGGAGAGGGCATCTCAGGCCCAAGGGCATGACACCGCAGTGCTCGGGGCCACACGAGCCCTTTAAATGTCAACACAGCACAGCGGGGAGGGAGGGAGGGAGGGCAGAAAAACGGGTGAGGAGCGGCGCTCTGTTTGAGGACAGGGAGGAATATTGGCAACTTTAACTTCCACTGCAGGAGGGTGGTGTTGGAGACTGGCAGAAGGCGGCATTAGATGGGGAGTAGGCAGTGGACAGCATGTGCTTCATCTTCGGAGATGTTTGCTTTAAACTCCAGCCGCAGACAAGTTTGAATAATCTCTCAGGGACGAAGGAAGACACTTGATCTGTGATTTTTCAGCTTAATTGTGACCTCAAAGGAGGCTCAGTGTTTTGTCTTATGTCTATTACCTTGGGAACAGTCTCTGACCTTTATGTGAGGAAGTACAGTACCTAATTGCTCTCTCTCTCAACCTCACCACCTTCTTTTTTTCTTCTCTTTCCCTCTCTCTCTCTGATAGATGAAGTAAGAATGGGTTTCCATCCAAGCATTTTAATGCAAATTGCATTCTTTCAAATTAAAAGGGCTGAATGGAAACTGCAAATGGAGATATTATGTCATCATTTCCTTTATTAAAAAAAGGCTTTGTGCTCACTCCAAGCTTAAAAAGAATTTCTTTGAAAAATTATGCAATATATTGTGATGGAAACACGTTTGCTTATTAAAGAATCAAAGGCTCCCTAAAATGTGTTCAATTTGAAATCCCCAAAAAGGTGCTGTCCCCTGTAAACGTTTAGGTAGTTCATAACTATTTTATGGCGAATATTGGTGAACTATACTTCCTTGACTTCCTTAACTGACTATTTTTTTCCTCTGTTTTTTCCTTATGCTCCTCCTGTCTGTCGTGGATCTCCAGGTCTGAGTCTGTCACATCCTCAGCCAATCAGAGCCTTCGTTAACAGCGGCGTCGGCACGTGATTGGGAGAAGGATGGCAACCATGCCGTTTGTCAGCGAGGGGAAGTGTGTGAGTGTGGAGTGGGATTTCCTACAAGGACTACTGGCCAAGCCACCCACCCTTCCCTGGTGAGACACACACACACACACACACACACACACACACACACACACAGACACACACACACGCACAGGCTGATACTGTATAAGCCTGCGTGCATGCCCATGAATTAATCTCTGCAAGGTGAAATCCATGCATTGACACCCTTGCACACACTGACAGCCTGAAGAAGAATTTCCTATCAATGAAACACAATCCAGAAGACATAAGTCTGATCTCTTCAGTGCTACATATAACCTGCATTGTTGCTCACCTGCCAATCCTGTCAGAGCTGTGAATCCCCTCCCCTTAGTGGGAGATTAAGTAAATTTGGCTGGAATTATTAATGGGCAGTCATTTAAAGGCGGATATAAAAACGAAGCAGAATCAATGTGTGTGTATTGATTGTTCTCGGTGGCTGGGGTCGAGGCAGTATAATAATGAGATGTTACAGAGGGCTGGCAGCATGAGTCCACACACACACACACACACACACACACACACACACACAAACACACGTTCGAGAATAGCAGGGAGAAATACAACGACTGGGTCAGCTGATTAAGATATAAACATATGTACACACGATGCACAGCCCTTTTCTTTGTTCTGTTCTTTCTTTCGCTCACACATGCACACACAAGCACATGCATACACACACCACTGGTGGTCTTTCTTAGGATGAGAATCAACAATACAGACACGAGGGAGAAAGGTGGATTCTTCTTTCTCTTCTAGCTCTCTCTCTCTCTCTCTCTGTCTCTGTCTCTGTCTCTCTCTCTCTGTCTCTCACACACACACACACACAAACACACTTTATTCCAGCGCAGCACCGACACAAATTGTGAAGTGGCTGTGACAACATAATTCCACCACTCAGGCCCCATTGAAGAGAGTCAATACCCAATCAGAGAGACAGGCTACCTGAGCCCCGGCCCCCCTCTGTCACTCTGCCCCTCCCTCTCCTATTGATCCCTCAATCACGGCTTCAGCTCACTAGCCCGGGACCAGATGAGAGAGAGGGAGAGAGGGCGAGAGCGAGGGGTTGGAGGGAGGAAGGGAGGAGAAGTGAGAGATACGAAGCGAGAGACTGTGTGTGTGTGTGTGTGTGCTCACATATGGATTGTGGAGCAAATGGCATTATTAGGACTCTGCTCTGCCAGATAGAAGACGGGAGTTTGTCTGTAATTACCAGGCCAATCTGCAAGAGATGGGTCAGAAGGGAGATTGTTTTACTTGAATTGCAGGAGCCATTGCCATTATATGTACTGTATTTATGGAATGACTTTTCTAGATTGATGCTCAGGTCATTTATACAGAGCATGAATCAATCAACAGGTAGTCAGTAAATGGCCATTGTATGACACACCTTACCTGTTTCTCCCACCACAGAGCTGATCCAGAATATTTCTCTGGCCTTCTCTTCTTTTCCTCTCCTCCCTGTGTTCATCTATGTCTTCCGTTAATACCCCCTCCCCTTGTTCACCTCTCAGTCTCCAGAACCTGCGTAAAGAGAAGTCTCGCAATGCGGCTCGTTCACGGCGGGGGAAGGAGAATTTTGAGTTCTTTGAGCTGGCAAAGATGCTGCCTCTGCCCGGAGCCATCACCAGCCAGCTGGACAAGGCCTCAGTCATCCGGCTGACCATCAGCTACCTGCACATGCGCACCTTTGCCAGCCAAGGAGACCCGCCCTGGAGCCCTCTGAGGGACGTAGACAGCAACTGCAGAAAAGGTGAGAAAAAGGGAAAAAAACAGTAAAGAAATACTGTGAAACAAACTGCTTTGGTTCACTAAAGTTCACTGTACATGAAATAGATTTTGATTCCATTTGTAATATTGCTTTTTTAGAACCAAAGAGAGGATGTATCAACTCCTAAAACTAGGTGTGTACTGACAGAACATGAAGCAAATTCTTGCCTTGCATCATTAGCACAGTTCTGACCACTGGACCGTTTGTGATTTGTTGCCCTAAACAGACAATTCACCAACTGTACGTTAGCTGTAAGCTAGCTAGCTACGAACGCACTGACCGTGTCTGACTGAGTGTGCCTGCGTGTTTGTGTTCCGCTCAGCCTCTTACTGCCAAAATCACTGCTTCTCCCTCCGGTCTTTATCCTTCTTCATCTCGTCTCTGTACGTTCATGAAATATAGATATAAAGCCTCGGGATACACTGCCAGTTCTCACTCGAGTTACAACTACTTGCACACACTTGGCTTTGCGTCAATCAATCGCATCTTTCCAATTACTTTGTATGCAAACAAACCCCAATAAAATTTGATTTGATTTGCATTCTGTCTGAACACCCATTCAGTAGGAAACAGTTATATCTACTATTGAAGACACTGAGGTCATGTCCTCATTACTCCCTCTGAGAATCTTTGTGTTGGGTAATTCAATTTCTGTGAATAATTGCATAAAATATAAAAAATCCAAATAATACAAGCCTTTTATTGTCTGCTCAAACTTCTCTTGGGGTGGGGGAGATATGGACTCATTTTTTTTAAATCCTGCTTACAGCCCTGGTAGGAAATATTTTTTATAACTTGTTCAATATTTAAACTTTTCATGGACTTTGACAACGTGCAAGTATGCAGTGGTAAATGAAACATGGTTGAAGGATCATTTCTAAACTAAGGAAGCTTGTAAGAAAAAATACACGGCAGAGATACATCTGCTGATGTTTGTTGTCAATGGACAGAAACCGCTGAAATTCATGCATCCATCTCATATATCTCTGCCGATCAAAAGCAATCCTCAGCCGCCCGATCCAAGTCCATTTACTCCCGCTCACAGAGACACCCCACGCCACAGAAAATCCAGTCCTCTATTGGCGACCGTAATTGCTTGTGCTGTGTGTGTGCGACACAAACATAATGTTCATTCTGAGGCCTGTAAACATACATGTGCATATATTACATTACATTACATTACATTCATAAAGACTCTCCATAGGCTGGTGTGAGATGAATGGGTGTGAGATCGATGTTACAGAAAGAGGGAGGAAACTATTGATGTGATTTGTAATTACAGAAATTAACTATATAACGAGGACAGTGTAATTATACAGCCTGTCTAATTGCTACTATTACTGAGGGGAAATGATGCAGCTACCGTACAATTAGAGGTGTGTGTTTGTGAGTGCGTCTGAGTGTGTTCCTGCCTGTTCTTGTCGAATTGGAGGTAATGTGAGCAAAAAGCAGTCATGTTAATAGCATGTTTTGTGTGACTCAGTGGGACTTGCTTTCACACAATATGTAACACACACACCTGATAAGACACAATAGTCTTAATGGTATAATAAGTTGGGCTGCGTATAAATAGTGGTGCCAGTGCAATACCCGAGGAAGTGTGTTTAAAAACTCGGGGTGTAGAGTTTGAAAGACATGGTATTTACCAGACAGGGATTCTCTAAAGGAAAGACGCTATTGCTGCATTATGGGAAATGTCAATGTGAAAGTGAGCCAGCATGCACGATACCAGGACCCTGAAACTGAATCAGCTAAATGGAATTCAGCCAACATTAATTTAATTTACACCTGTGCTTTTCCTACTGACATGACATGTCAAAATATCTAACATGAAAAAGTTGTATCGGCATCCATTGTCACTTGTTTTTGTACTGAATCATTTTGTGCACATTGATCAAGTAAGGTACATAGATCAGCAGGTAGCATGGACCCGAGACACATAATCTTATTAGGCTCATGCTCTTAATTTTTCAGACTTAACAGTTTCCAATTTTCAGTGCTACATACTGTTTTCAGTGTATACTTTTACTAAATATTGAGGTTAGATACCCAGCTATACTTATCTAACTAAAAGTATCCCACTCAGAGATCTCTATAATACTGACACGGTGAGCCCAGTCTTTGGCCACATATACATATACATACATACATACATACATACAAATATTATTACGGGTGAATTCATTGGGATCCATTGATAGCTAACCAGCCATGCAGCGCTGCACAATGTGACTGTCTGAGTGATGTCCATGCACTATCGCACTAATGCGCAGTCGTGGCCTTGACTGAGCTCTACGCATAGTGAATTGTTTTGCCTCGGTGTTTGAGGCTTTTTTTTGGCCTTGATAGAAAATACCTGTTTAGAAAAGTAGGTGTGCGGTAGCCGTGCTGTCCTGTGCATGAACTGGAAGTGTGGTAAGAAGACAAATGCGAGGTATGCTGCTTACACTACAATGAGAGCACTTCTCCTACAAATGTGAACCATAACTGTAAATATATAGAATCCTGCAGCAGCTACGCGAAGGTCATAGGAAATTGCGAGGCGCTGGACAAACACAACGAATCGCATGTCAGCTACGAACGGTATTGCAGTCTGAATTATCTTGAACATTTCTTCCAATAGGTCGGGATCTGATATCTTGAGTATTTTATTAAATGTTTGGAGATTTCTACAAGCGAGTCATACAGTCTCAGCGGGGCCAGGGCTGAAAATGCGATGGTAATTTGGACATCAGTTTGAACAAGTCTACCCACAATGCATTGGCAGGGTTTTAAGTGTGATGCATGACTTTAATTCCGTTAGTGGAATGTGGTCAGAGATCCAGCTGAAAGGGAGAGGAGGACAGAGCGGAGGGGAGGGGACAAATGTAGAAGGAATAAAGAGAGAACGAGGAGAGGAGTGTGAGGAGAGAGGGGGCAAAGGGTGGGTGAGTTGCATTCCTCTACTCTCCCTCTTGTCCGAGGGTTTTTGGACGGACGAGGGCCAGCAGAGAGGGAAGGAAGGTGGAGGCGAGGAGAGGGATGGAGGGAAGGGGAGGGGCCGATGTGGCTTTTGTCTGCTTCCCACGTTTCAAAGCCAGTCTTGAAAAATGAATAGACAGAGGAAAATCAATTGCATGACCTTCACAGAGAGAACGTGAGAGAGATTGAGAGAGCAGGAGAGGGGGGAAAAGAAGGAGGAGAGAGACCGATTATGGAAGGAGGGAGCAAACGACAAGGAAAGGCTGAAGGAGGAAAAGTAAAATGACCCATGATATTCATTCCCATTCCCGTTTGTGTGTGTGTGTGTGTGTGTGTGTGTGTGTGTGTGTGTGTGTGTGTGTGTGTGTGTGTGTTTCTGTGTGTGTGTTTGTACCTGTTTGCACAGCGCATTGAAGGACTAAACCCTTTTTATTTGTAATCATTTATTTTTCAAAACCTCTCTCTATTAAGCAAATTTTGCTTTGGGGTACAGTTGCCTTTTTAAATGTCCCGTTACAGGATTATTCCGGTTTATTTTAACCAGAGCCTTATTTTCTATCGGTTGTGATAAGATTGTACTCACTACACTAATTGCAGAGATCTAATTGGACAGGGAAAAAAAGGTGTGCACACAACTACGCTAAGTACAGAAGGTCAAACATGAATCCGAAGTTCAGTCTGTTCAGTGTGATTGATGTTAATGTTGTGAGTTTGCCCATGTCTTCTTCACGCCCAACTGTGATGTCACTGTGTACTGACACACCCTGGAGTACATTTCCATATCACTTGCATAAATCTTGTCTCCGCGAGTCTGTACCACCTCAACCTTTAACAGGTGCAATATGGCAACTGGAGAACCCCTCAGTCTTTTACAAGGTACAGTACAATGACAATTCACTGCCAGCAACAGGGCCAGCTCAAGTGTTTTACTGTCTCTGTTAGTGAGGTCAAACACACCTCTCTCCTCCCCAGCGTTGGTGACATTGACTTTCATTCCACCTCCACTCGCTCCCTCTCTTTCTCGACTCCTTTCTTTCATTGCCTCTTTTTCCCTCGTCTCCCTTCCGTCTCCCCACCTCTTCGCGTTCTCCCTGCATCTGCCTCCCCTCTAATTCACGGCGTTTAAAGCAGCCGGGGCTTTTAAGGGAAGTTAATTGCACTCAAATTATGTTCGACCGCAAAAAAGGAGTGAGGGAGAGATGGAGAGATAGAGGAGAGATAGAGAGAAGGAGGGAGGGATGGATGTCAGAGTGAGAAGATAATTGCGCCAGAGAGGGACGCTGCGATTAGGGTCACTCTTTCTCTCTCTGTCTGTCGAACAGCCGAAACGTCACATTTGGATGGTCGTAAACAACTTGGCAGGTGATCAGGCTCTTGTTTTGAAAGGGTGAAACTACGGCAGCAGAGCCAAACTTGAGAGACAAAGACAGATAAGAAGACAGAGAGCGGGAGCTACGTAGAAGGAAAGAGGGGTTCAGTGCGTCTGTTATCTGTTTGGTTCCCATGGTAACATCCTAACCTGGTCTAAATGGTTGACACTGTGGGGGGGGGGGGGGGGGGGGGGGGGGGGATGTATGTGGTCATGTGCATGTATGTGGGGGATGTTTAGGTGTGTGCGCGTGTGCGGCCATCACTCTAGGACTTAACTGGGACTAAATTATGTATTCGACAGAGGTATAATGAAAATCATTCAAATTAAATTTCTATCTTTTCTTCTCATGGAGCTCTGGGGAGACCCCGAGAACTGACCTGCAAGTCAGACTATAATTAACGTGTCCGATCGTGGCCCGGCCCATTCTATCTCCTATTCCCACAATGAAATTAAACCTCGCAGCAGAGTCCCGGGAAGCTAATGAAACGGGAGTGTGACAGAAAGGAGCGATCAAAGACCTCAGGGTCTGCTTCCAGGTCTGTACACTAGCACAATCAAATGACATGCATGGACAGAAGCAAAAGTACAAAAGATGAATGTATATTCACAAAAATCATTTAAAAGGATAATTCCAGTTAATTTCAACTTGTATGTTATTTTCTTTTTTTGTCCACTATGTCTATGATAACACTGAAGTCCCCAAAGTAACTAGAAAGGTGCACTCAATAGTGTGCAGCTCTCCGCCAGGTGTGTCTGCAACGACCACTGCTGTATTGTGTGATTGAATAAGTACAACCCACAATTGGTTAACCCGTCTGTCGAGGCACTAATGGGCTGTAAGGAAAAGGACACTTTATTCAAACTCAAAAACAAGCGGCAATGCATGCAGGCAATCGGCTCGAAGTCGTTATATACATTTCATTCAATCTTGCCAAAGAAAAAAAAATTAAACTCACCAAGCTTTCTCCCCATGCAGCAGCGGCTGAGTGGCGGCGATGTACTCAGCAGTCTGTGTACTGGCAGTTACGTTAGCTGTTGGCTAATAGACAAACACATCGTCCAGAACACTAAAAGAAGGCACTCAGCTGTGTTATCACTACCGCACTCTTCCAACCGTGGGCCGGTTAATAGTAGTGAGTGAGGAGCAGGCAGTCAATGGCAGTATAAAACATTAAAAGGTGTTTTGAGAAAGTGAGTCTCCGCAACCACGAGAGGTCTTTGAGTATATGCAGCCATATTCTGGCCACC